ATGGACAGGGGATTGTCAAACATAGGAAATGCCTCCAACATCATCAGCCTCAAACAGCAAGCCAATATTGACACCTACTTCACAAGTTCCAACTCCCTCAGTACCCTACTAAGAGCCAAGGGCAGGAACACAACCAAACCCCCAGAGCCTTAAGGTGTAGTTTATAAAACTGACTGCCTCTCTGTCTGTTTTAGAAGTTTAACGACCGCTTCTACCACTGACAATTTCGCAGTCGGGGTAGGTGAGGAAAACTTTAAAAGAATAAATAATGTTTTAATACAGGTAAACACCATACCCAAAAAACTGTAAATGAAAGGGGCATTAACCTAATCCTATACAACTACGGCTATTATGTACAAGAAGTGTATTAAGGTATAAATCAAAAGAGATAAGTTAAATGGTAATATATTAAGAGAGGTAAATTTTGAATGACGAATTTAAGTCCTGAAAAGAGTAGAAAGTGCTATATAATCTATCCTAGTAATTGTTAGCTATACTTGAAGAAAAGATAAAGCAGAATGGGGTAGATTGATATATTTGCAGTTAAGCTGCAGTTTAGAACATGAGGTTATAATAAAGAAAGAAAAAGGGTATAAGAGCCTTATGTACGTCTAAACTGGCTTGAGTGGGTATTGATTGATATGGAGGTGCGCGTTAGCCCTGTGATTTTTCATGCGAGGAGATGTTTGGTGGCCTTGGCCTTGAGAGGTTGGCTGGTTAAGTGGGATTGTTATTTAGCAGGATGGGTAATAGAAATTTAGCGCTCGGACGCCGGAAAAGACAGTCAGCGCAATGAATTTGGATCCGAATTGAGTAAAAGTTTGTTTACATTTAGCAGATGATGAAGATTTCATGTGAGAAGGTCTAAAGCATGGTGGTAATATTAGTTAAACAGGCAGTATATAAGTTTGCGTACTAGGGACGTGCTGAAGGCGGTTTTTGGAGTTAGGGCAAGATGTTGGTGTTTTCAGGTGCATTTGGCGAGAGAGCCGGAGATTCGGGTTCTAGCCAGATTGAAGTCGAAGACAGTGAGAGGGTGATATTGTTTTTTAATAACGTGAGCTGAAGTGTTCATGATGAATTGAGGGGTCATCTCAAGGCCCTGGTTTTGAGTTTATGTCAGAAAAGAATTTAGAACTTGAAGGGTTAGGGTTTAATGGTCAAAACGTTCTGTTTCAAGGTATTGGACCATTTTAAATAGGGCTGGGAGCAGGTGTTGAGCTTGATTGGTTTGGTGGCCATGGGTGAGATAACAAGAGTCTGAGCATACTTGCGCTTGCGCTTGGGTGATAGTCTGTGGGGGGGGGGGGGGGGGGGGGGGTGATCGGTAGCTGTGCCTGAGGGTAGGTTGACGGGCTCTGAGTGTAGAGACGTGGTCGGAACTTTGGGCTTCTTGGGGTTCTGGGTGTCGAAGGCGATTTGGATGTTCCTTAATCCACATGATGGATCGGCTGTGAGGGTGTAACTGGCCACCCTGTTTAACAAGAGAGGTAGAATGACCCCGACAAGGTCCCTGGGTAAGGATTTGTTTATGCTTCGAACTTTTACAGACATGGTAATGAAGTTGAAGCAGTAAGGCGAGGAGCTAGAGTGAAAAAAACAGCAGATTGGAGAGACGACAAACCAGAGTGAGTAATATCCAAACCCGAATGAATGAACGAACGAACGTAACGAATAACAGGGTGAATGAATCAATTCACTGTAACTGTGGACAATCTTATGTAGATGGAACATCCCGCCCCGTCAACACCAGAATCAAAGAGCACAAAACCTCAACCATCAAATCAGACAGTAAATCAGCCATGTCGGACCATATCAGTAACTACCCCCATCACAACTCCAAGATGATTGGTAAATACCGCTCCAGAAACAAACTTCTATTTATCTAGTAATATTGATACCTCTTGGTTAATATATATACATACATAATACTAATATAAACTACACCTTTAGGCTTGAACCTCAACTATCAAATCAGACAGTAAATCAGCCATCTCGGACCATATCAGCAACTGCCCTAATCACAACATCAACTGGGACAACGTCCAAATCCTCTCCAACAACCTCAATGATTTCACTAAAAGAAAACGGACAGAAGCAGTCCGCATTCGCCGCCACCAGCCATCAATCAACAGAGATCAAGGCTATTTCACATCCGCCTACTATGATTTGGTTGGTTTGTTGTTTAACGCCGCACTCAGCAATATTACAGCTACATGTATATGACTGCGGCCGCCCACTATGAACTCATTAAGCAATAATCACTACACCTACACAAACTTATCCTGTTTAGTCCCATTGGCTTCCACCTGTGTGTTCTCTGTCCATCATGTTGTAACAGTATTATCCTTCTGTTGTCATTACTTACTCATGTTATCCCACCCATGTATGCAATTGTTAATGCTCCACCTACTATATATATTCTGTACCATGGTCTTCATTCAGTCTTGCTTGACAACGGTATAAGGATCTATACCGAAACATCGCCTTTATAGTATTAAAAACGTTGTTATCCATAAATTGTGTCTACTTTGCCATCCGTCAACTTCTATGTAATGCCGATCAAACAATTGATTGTCAATCTGTTAAACATATCATTACTGCGATGTCTTTAATTAATGTCATGTCTTTTACGTTGATCACTATTGTGCAAACCACTAGCATGGCTGTGGTTCTCACAAACCTAAAACAATTAAAGGGGTGAATCTGGGATTCAAACGCACGAGCCTGGTTCCTGGGAAGGAACTCCGCACAACGTACTGTTGCACCTTAGACAATGTGGCCACCCGCGTCGCAAAATAGATACTAGAATCAGCTTAGAAAGTGCAAGATCGAGGATGAACAGCAATAAGTTCATTCCTATCCTGAATTGTTTGTCATACTCTGTGAACTACGTGATCTTTTTGGTAATTTTGTCCCGAACGCTAATCTGTATTAACGTCGTTCGGGACAAACTGACCATAAAGGTTAAATTTAGCACATAGCCTTACAGTATGAGGAACACAAAAGGCCAAAAGTGGATATGAGTGAGTGAGTGTGTGAGTGAGTGCTTACTGAAAACATCAACAAAGATTCCACAGGACATAAAGGGAAAAGTAGTGATGGGCATTTACGAATGGATCACGAAACATCGTTGATGTCGATGTTAAAAGAAGAAAAGGTGTCGTCACTGATTTTAAGTGATCCATTCATATAACTTTCACCGCCAGTTTGCCTTTGTCGCCCCATGGAATAGGGGCATGGCTGGTGATGAAGATATTCATTTGCACATTCAAATCATATTTGTTTACTCGAAAAGCTGTATTGCCCCTGTCACCCTTCAGGGTCGACTGCATGTGTTAGAGAAACGTGTTTAGGTTATAAAAAGTTATTGTATGGCTGCAACTGGTACGCTTATTGATATCCGGTCACGACTGTCACCATGACGTTTGTCATACACAGCCAGAAGCCTCATCATAAAAATGTTTATGGTACATTACAGTGTTATTTGGCTTTTGGTGCTTGTAGAGAACAACATGTGCATCCTTCATTAGACAAAAAAAATGTCACAACAATACGACACACGACAAATCGTGTACTCATTTTATTATAATGGATAATATCACCGAAGGCATATCTTCAAGGGTTAACACGTAGTAAGTGGATCATGATTCACTTGTAAAACCAAAATCTGTGACCTTTGGCTACAGCATCAGCCGCTGATCGCCACCATCTGGAGCCCACATGATTCATCTCCCACGTAGAAAGAATTACAATATCAATACCTAAGCATCAACAGCCATTCAAGATTAGAAATATACTTTATGAATATCTAAAAGTCAAGATATCGTTGTTAAGTTTAATTTATTGTCGAATGAACCAGCACAATAATTACATAAATAAATGCGACAAAATCATTTCCATAATCTTAAGAAATCTGTGCTACAAGCAGAGTCCGTTGAACGATTCCGACATGTGTTTGTATATTACTATCAATTAGTGATGACACCAGGTAAAACATGCATGGGATGAACACCTTTCTGTCTGGTTTCTGTTTGGCATCAGCCTATAAACTGTTAGTTTGGAATGACAGCTGGTCGGCCCTGTGTGCAACGCATAGGTCACAAACCAGAAGAATTCGGTCTTGCCCCACACTTACGTACATGTTGTGTCACTTTAGGCAAATGACTTTGTTCTAAATGTGTCTCTGTTCACCCAGCACTAAATGGGTACTCAGTAGGATATGAGATGGTAATGCAATTGCAAACCTGCTACAGCCTCATATATAAACTTGGGTGGTATACTCAACAAAGGTGCGTAAAAAGTATTCTGAACATTGTTCATAATATTTACAGATTAAAATCTATAAATGCCGCAAAGACAGTTCGGGTGATCCTGGCGCAATCAGGCTGCCTAGTCAAACCTAACAAGAAGACTTCAGAGAATTGAGGACTCCCAACATTGCAGCCTTCTGCATTACCCAGATTGCCAAAGGGTTTTGTTCCTGGTCGCAGACCCAAGTACTCTCCAATGTCAGACAACGGATTGAGAGAACAATGGAGAGTCGGACAACCTGGTACATGGGATTTAAGCGTGAAATTTCGTAAGCGACGTCCGCATATTGGACATGTTTTCCTGTAACAGGTCCATCACATTAGTGGCGAAAAGGGCACATAATTCTATGATATAAATGATTTTGTTGAATTTATCAAAAAGGACAAGGTCAGGTTTGTGTTGGTCTGGATGTCTATAATTAACATGAAAAGACAGTTAATGTTCCTGTTCGGGTGGGATGGTAACACAACTTAAATTTGGTCAAATACCTAAATTGGCTAATTTATTGTTGGATATATTGTGTGAAATACTACACATGCATACCCCCAAGGAACGCCAACCCACACAGACCGGTGAAGTTTCACCTTTGATATATTAACATGTGAAAACACCTGAAGGTAAACATGTCGTCAGGTGTCATGTAATTACTGGCACGCTATATATACCCCACTCGGAATTACATTTGTACAACAGTTCGTCATTTAGCATTCAACTTGCAAAGGTAAATATGTTTTATACTTATTTGTTATTGATGACCAGGGTTAGAATCATACATCCGCAGCAATTCACCATTGATCGTAAGAGGCGACTACTCTGCTTCGTATGGTCAGACATTTCTCATGAATGTGGGCGTGGGTCGTTGCTTATTTGTTTGTAGTACTGGTTTTCCTTAAAGAGATTCAATTAGACTCAAATAGGCCGCCGGGATATAGCTGGAATAATGCTGGCTGTGGCATTAAATATCATTCACACATTTGATTGGGCTTCCCCCTCGACCGCCCCTGTGGCCTAGTGGTAGAGCGTCTGCCCAGAGAGCGGAAGGTTGGGGCTGTGATTTTGTATCAAGGCTAGATATTTTTTGTCACCTTTAGCTAAAATTCCAGATTATTTTTTAATTTATAACTTGGATGTTGATTTATTAAGGAAACAACTTGCAACAATGTAATTTTTGTGGCAGGCAATTTCTTCTTTTTTCAACAATCTAAAATATAATAATTTTTTCAAACATTTTCGGAAACAATATATTTTTTATCAATGACAAATCCATAACACAGAGCCGACATTCGACGTACAGTGTGTCGATGCAGGACACAGGAAACGTACATCGTATTTCTTAACATATAAGACCCTGATCATCTACTCGATGAATCATCAGTGTTTGTAATAATTGTCCTAATTATGAAATATTTTCTACTGGGTTCTACACAGATGAAGATCGCACTCGTCCTCCTGGTCCTGACTGTCGTGGTAGCCCTGCCCGGAGCAGATTCCTGGCGAGTAAGAAGAATAGTTCGTGCTGTGGCTAGAACGGCGACAAGGGTTGCCCGTACTGTAGGCAGGGCTGTTGTTCGTGTCGTCGGTGAGTAGGTTGTTTCTTGTATACCATATTACATCGACACAATCTTGGCTAACCATGCCCACGATAGTCCCCCATTACTCGTCCCCGGATGACGCGGTCAGCGCTCATAATTTCAGTCACTGTTTGCCTGGTTCAAACAAGATTATTTACAGGCAGTCCTCATAAAGCTGGAATAATACAGACTGGGGAATTAAACAACATTCAGTTTCACACTGAAGCGGAATCATGTAGTGTCGGGTAGAAATGGTGGTGTAGGAAAGTTGTTCTAAATTCTGTTTTCAAATTAATTAGCTACAAATATAATGTGTCGGCTTGTTGTGCAGATGGAATGACCGGAACAAGTGTTAGGGAACATCGTATTCAAAATAAGGAATATCAAAATATCAAAGCTTCAAGACGAACATGAAATCTATGCATAAAAATCTATTCTTTTGTATTTAGGCATAGGTAACTTTTTAAAAGGAAGGGGTCCAAATAAGCAAAATGCTCTCTCAGTCAATTTTAGCGACTACACCAACATACGTCTGTGTGAGGGGATCGTGGATGTGTGTGTGAGGGTGTGGGGGTGGCCGGATCCCTTGAAGAAACGATCTCAAGTACAGCTGATGTTGCAGGCATTGGCTCAGGGCTCTCTAGTTTCTAGTTTCTAGTTTCTAGTTTCTTCAGCAAGTATCTTTGAATTATATAACGTTTGTACATACCTAGGTAAGCGAGATAGGACTGTGGGCGACGTTGATGATGACGTTGATGTCAGTGACAAGGAGATACTGGAGGCATTGGCAACCAGAGACGTGGAGGACCTCATCGAGAACGGCTTCATCTCAGGTAAAGGATGCAAATACCTTCTGGGGGTTACTGTCTCGTTTTGGCGCATACACGGGAAAGCGTGGACCAAGCTGTGATAAACTGTCGAATTGGAGTAATATTCAGTTCAGTCAATCATCTCCTCCTGCCATCCATGGCAGACACTCAATTCATCAGGTGTAAATTCGGCAAGCAATGGTAATACCATGAATGGTTCTCACTTAATTGGATTCCAAGAACATATGTCACCCTCATTAAATTTCTTGATTGTATTTGTCGAAACAGGAAATGGTATCAACTTTAGCTGTTTGACTGTAATACTTTTAATTTAAAGCCATATAGTTTATATTATTTCTGTATTTAAGTTCCTTAAAGTTAAATTGTTGTAGTCAATGCTTGTAAAACATCACTTCACCTGCCTGATCATATGATTTTAAAATATTATTGTTATTTTCATTTTGACCGCAAAATCGTGTAAACCATGACATCACATGTAGTCTTCTCCTTTTGTTTAAAGGGGCAGACAATGATGACTTCAGTCTCCACCAACGTCAACGCAGAGAGGATTTGGATCACGAGGAAGGTAACGTATTTCCCTTTGATACAATGATTCAAAGTTTTGAACGAGTCCTCCAAGTACATTAGGATCTTCCGAAAGATAAGCAGTCAATGCGTTCCTGGTCTAAACTACCTGAACTGAATACTAAGAAAGCCATGGCATGGTACTTATATATCAGAGGTGGTTACATATACTCAGCCCAACGGGTGCTAGGCATATGCATTGGAAGGAATCGCATTCTTTTCAGCACAGTAGTGGCATTGATCATACAGTCAAACACACGGTACATTGGCGTTTGCCGTGATGAACGTACATGACTCCTCTGTTGACCTACGACATGGACTACGTATGCTGAGGGCATTCTCGATTGTCCAGTGTATGTCTCCACACTATTGGGCCAATTTGCCAACCATTGATTCGTGTCGAAAGTGACGTCACCAACCCCATCGTGTCAATAACCAAGTTTATTCTCTCATTTGTGTCATTGGGTTGGACGACTATTTCTAGAATCGTGTCATTCTAATTGTTCTCAGAATGATGATATGGAACGTGGCGTATTGGCCAAGGGTATTTATCAAATAATCGATAATCGAGGATGATCTGAGAGGCAAGTGAATGGTATTTAACTGTGAAGTCAGCAATGTTCAACCTATATCACGGGGCAACTGGGGATGATAATACGCGACAAACAGGCGGAGATGACATTCATGGATACAGTTCTTATCTCCCTTTTTTCCAGAGTGAAGCGTTTCTGAAGACACCTTGGCACCATCCCATACCCCGGATCCTGTTCGAAATGTGGAATTGGTAACATGAATAAAGTCAGGGCGTTATAAACAATGATTTTGTAATCTGTGATTAATTACCAATGTCGACGTACATTGTACGCAGAGCATCTCAGAAGACTTAGCCACGCGCTGACAAGACCCAGTGCTCCAGCGTTCACTTCACTGTCAGCGTATTGACGGACGTCTGAGGTTTCCAGTTAAGTGCTTCACAATTGAGTAATCTGATTTCTTTGCTTGTTTTCTTGTTGTTTAACGCCGCACTCAGAAATATTCCAGCTATATGACAGCGGTGTGTATATAATTGAGTCTGGACCAGACAATCCTGTCATTGACGTCATGAGCATCGATCTACTCAATTGGGAAACGATGAGATGCATCAACCAAGTCAGCGAGCCTGACCAACCGATTCTGGTAGTTGCCTTACGGATCTGAGTTTTGGACTGAAGATGGCAATCTAAGAAAGTTATTCAAAGCCCCCTGTAACATCATCTATTGTTTTCGAAAGTGTCTCGTATTCGTAAAATGACCCTCATTGCCAGTTGGAACCTTGTTTGATTGTTATTTGTCGGTATAAATCTAAACTAAATAATACAATCATCTTCGGCTGTGCTTGCATAAGAACAATAAGGCAAGTCACAACAGTCATCCTCAGTCCTTCAGAATGAGAGTCCAAATAGGCCACCTGCACTCGGGAATCACTGTAACCTGCCTTGATGACACCAGGTGTTCGCGACACTTGTTCGTTCGTTCTGCTTTATCAGTAGAACAGTTTGTTTGTTTGTTTGTTGTTTAACGCCACACTCAGCAATATTCCAGCTATATGACGGCGGTCTGTAAAATAATCGCGTCTGGACCAGACAATCCAGTGATTGACATCATGAGCATCGATCTACGCAATTGGGATCGATGACATGTATCAACCAAGTCAGCGAGCCTGACCACCCGATCACGTTAGTTGCCTTTTACGACAAGCATAGTCGCTTTTTACGGCAAGTATGGGTTGCTGAAGACCTATTCTACCCCTGAATCTTCACGGGTCAGTAGAAACAGTCGTGGGTGGAGTTGAAGTGTGGGAAATAGTTTTGTGTCAAGAATGCTGAGGGAGTATTCGTGCCAGTTTAAATTTCCCTTTCTAAATGTGAGTAAGTAAGCGAGTGAGTTTGGCCTACCTACGCTTTGAACAGAATTTTGGTAACTAGTACGCTTTCTCTGAGGTGTACTACAGACAGACATATTGACGAATGTTACAAGGCAAGTCGACAATATATTTTATATAGCTGTTAGTATTTTTAACTGGCTTCATCGACATTTATCTGCCTTCATTTGTAAACTAGCTTTTCCTCTTTGGTTTATTTAAAGGCTTAAATGTTGATCGGTTCACGTCCTGTGTGTCGGATAAAGCCGATTTTCGGATTAACGAGTGTCGGATCAACGAGACTTGAATGTATATCTCGCGGTGACAGCTTGTTGTGGGGGTAAGATCGAAGTGATAGACTTTTACTTTAGTAAAATCCACGAAACATGAGTGAAATTGACAAAACAAGAAACAAAATCAGGGCGAATCAGGGATGAGATCCCACGATCATAGGTTCCTGTCACGCCTAAGGCACGCAACTCTGCTCAGGGACTAGAGGACAGGGTGTCCCGTGGCCCCAAATGTGATTATGACTTAGGAAGTGAGCAACTATTGAACAGGCTAAACTACGGCTATATCACAGCAGCCTGTACACACTCGAGTCTGGGACCCGCACACCTAAATCAATATTGAATGTATCTTGGGTAAAACAATGACACACAATTGGCAGAATCACTGGGTTTGACAGTGTGTAACACCGCTTTAAAGAACAGCCTTAGTCACATTACTGTGTGTCTTCTTTACGTAGAAGGAAAGCCCTAAGTGGTGCACACATTTGATGTTGACGCTTTGGAGAAGACTTGGAGCACACAATGGCGGATCCAACATCTTTAAAAAGAGAGGGGTCCAAACTATCAAAATTCTCTCTCAGATATATTTACTGCCTACAAAATACTACAATTTGTTTTTCAGAAAGGGAATATGTATGTGTAGGTGTGTCGAGGTGGGGGGTGGGGAGGGGCTGACCTCCTTGACCACCCACCAGCTCCGCCTATGGCATAGATATGGTGCCGACAAACCAAGGTAAAGCTGGTATTGAACCCAGGATCTCTGGATACGGTCACGCGGAAGTGGCTAAACCGCCGCCTCTTAGTGCCATCCTCTCCGAATAAAGTGGAATAAAATCAACATCAGTGTGTGCAATTGACATGAACCATCTTGTCGCCATCAACGACTTAACGTCACATGTGAGTGGTGATTTTATGTTCTCTTCGGACAGGAAGGAAAAAAGGTGAGTGGGTCAACGATCAGGGTGCCTGTATGTACACTATTGATGCCCGTTGGGTTTACAGGTTACAATAGGTCCCAAGCAACCTATGGTTGCCGTCAGAAGCAACCAAATGGATCAGGTCATCCTACCTCGACCGTGGATGATTGTTCACTGGATTGTCTGGTCCAGGCTCGTTTATTTATAAGCTGCTGTCAAACAACAAACAGAAGTACAGGATTGTTGTTACATAATTGCGTGGTTGCATACCGTGGTCTCATATGGTACAAAACCTCATTCTGATCGTGACATTCGGAGGACGATCAATTAGCTTGTTCAAGGATTTAAACCCCCAGATCATGGTAGCTTACACCTGCAAGTAACCCAATTTTCAGAACACCAGCGTCCATCAGAGAATGAGGAAACTGATAGGTGTTCAACTAGTTGCAACATGAGTTTGTGTTCTTGATTTACTATCAATGAAGCAATACTACTACAACTGATTCAGCAGAACTCACAAACATTAATCTAAGATTTATTCATGTTGATGATATATATACACTTGTATAAAACCTTAAGAAACAACATGACAAAAATTATCATAGAAAATAGGAAACATGCACAATGAATTTCATACCATGGGAATCAATATGAATAAATTTTCATACATATTATGAATGTTATATAAAACAGGAGTGCAAGTATCCAATTGTCATCATGAAGTGATATGATGTAATATAGAGTTCATGCTGCCATTTCACAATTAATTAATGTTCTTGGAATCAACTGATCAAAAATCACCTGAGAGTAAAATCAGCAGGAATGTTATTGTACTTCCTAAACATAATCTATTATATTGTTTTCTTTGTTGTTGTGTGATGGCACTTATCCAAACACATGCCTGCCTGTGAACATATATTATTGCTGAGTTTAGTTCAACACAACTTTGAATATTATTTGAGTGAGTAAGTGAGTGAGTTGGGATTAACCCCGCTTTTAACAGTATTACAGTTATATCGCGGCGTGTCAGCTTAATGTCGAAGGAAAGCCCGAAGTGATGCAGGTCTCAGATGTTGTCAACTTTGGTGAAACCCACGAGCACGGGTATGGTGCTGACAAACCTAGAAACATAATCGTGGCGAACCAGGTTTGAACCCACAATCATAGGATTCTGGCGTGCCCAAGGGACACAACTCTGCACAGCGAATCGCGGTGCCTTAGACGACTGTGCCACCCTGAACCTCCAGCATGAGTACAGTGACAAATTCAGGATGATGATGACCAGCGGCTCCTTTCACAAGTAAGGGACACAACTCAGCAAACTGGTTCTTCCCTTGCACTTCAGCTGGTTTTATGTCCATACCACTCTAGCAATTGATTTTGAATGTTAAAAATGAGTGTGATGAGAAAGAAAATGTACTAATGGAACAGATGTGTGATTAAGTGTTAACATTTGATACATCAACACAAATAGGCTGAACTACGGCCAACCCTTGTTCATTACATGAATCACAGCTGCAGTTTGTGAATGAAAAAAAGATAAAAAATATTTATTCCGCAATATACATACTGGACCAGAACTCAATAACTGTATTGTTCAGAGACTGACTATTTGTCCTTTTTTGTTTGCACTGTTTGTAATTCTACCATGACGTTGAAGAATGATTCATTCTGATTTCTTAAAATGAGTTATCAGATTTGATACCTCTAATTTAAGCCTTTTCACACAAAATACATGTGTAATACATACAGCAATTGCCTACATATTGATCCATAAGGAAATAGCTGCCAATAACCCATCAGAACTGTATATTTATTATATTGAAACATATCAGATGTTTATGGGAACGATTCTGACATTAACTCTGACTCAGTTCCAAAATAAAATTAAGAGGTATATACTATACTTCAAAACACAGTAGGTCAATCTCCTAACTCTAGGAAATTAAGATGACAATGCAATATCTGAACTCTCAGATGAAAATATTTGGTTTACATGAAAACCCAAAAAGAAAAATTTTGCAGGAGCTTATGTGACCCCCATAATTTCAACAAAGGGTGGCATTATGTCATTATATGACATGTTATAAACAATATTACTACACAAATAACATAAAACTATGACGAAGTTCAGTTGCAAATAGGAAGTTCAAAGACCCAAAGAGGAAGAAGATAAATATTTAATAAGACTGCATCATTGGAGTGAAACAGTAAAAATATCTGCTTAGAGAAATATTTTTATTTTTTTGGAAAAAATATTCTTCAAAAATTTCAATGTAACATAAAACTATCAAAACTCATGTACAGTAATAGAAAGTACAATAATTATCCAAAATAACTTCTGTAACATTTGTCATTGATCATCCAATAGCCTCATCAAAATGTTAACACATCCATTGTATTTACATCAACATTAATGGAGCCAATGAAGTTGCGTTTACGAGGGTTTCCCCTTAGTGTTTCATGACCACTGCCAGAATGAGGGCAATGACAGCCAGGATGTTGACATGTACACGGCCTGCACTGTTGCAGAGGTTCTCATCGTCACAGATGCAGAAGTTGAGAGACACTCCATAGGCATCCATAAAGCGCTTACAGCCTCGGAACTCCTCAGCCTTTCCTCCACCAACTGAGGAATCTGTGAGACAACAAGACTGCATTTTCAACATGATCAGACAACAGGCAATTGATAAAGCTAATGTTAAAAGCGTCAGTAAAATCTTCCATAGTAGAGATTTACTACCCACTGAAGGCTCTGTGTATTACAATACTTTGTGCCCTAATACAAGTGTCATGAGTGAGTTTGGATGAACGCCGCTTTTAACAGTATTCCAGTTATATCACGGCGTGTCAGCTTAATGTGGGAGGAAAGCCCGAAGTGATGCCGGTCTTTCACATTACTTCAGGTATGGTGCTGACAAACCTAAAAACATAATCAGGGAAAAAGAGGAACTATATCAATGTATCAATATATCGAACCCGGGTCTTCGGTGTGACGAGCGAACGCTTCAACCACTAGGCTACCTGACCACCCCTCTGACACTACAGAGAGACTATTCAACAAGTCAGGACTTACCAACAAGTGTAAGAAGGAGGTTGGTAAACTGGAGCTGAGTGTAACATAATCTCTGGGCCGAGGCAAAATCTGGAGGACAGAATAACAGGCATTCAGTAAAGTATATTTTCATAATAACATACACGTTGATAAATTTTCTTTCAATATTTACAAGTTTTCTTCACAGTGCATGAGTGAATAGCTTAATGCCACTTGTAACAGTATTTGAGTCATATCACCACCCGCAAGTGATGCAGGCCTCAGACGTTTACCACTAAATTGGTTGAACCCTGAGCATGGGCGTGTTACTGACAAACCGAGAACCACAATCAGCGATTCGTACCCATGATAATTGATTTCTGGCGTGCCCACAGGAGACAACTCTGGACTTTGAACTGTGGAGCCTAAGATGAGTGGGACACCTGTGACCCTTTCTTCACAATGCAACTATCAGAATGAAATCCACTATTGTGCATACTGACCATCCTTCCATGTCTTGGAGCAGACATAGCATCCTCCCTTGATTGCTGCAACCTCCCTTTTCGGGTCAAAGAACTCCAGGTCACAGCCCTGGCACTCGTAGCACTGTAGTCCTCCTTTGTCTTTGTCATAGTCATTACCGGGACTCCCAGGAATGTAACCTCCTGGAACCTGGCTCTGGTCACTCCAGTCCACCTGAAGCTCACTCCGACTCCCATCATTCCAGCCTGACAATCAATCAAACAAACATGTACTTCTCTTGCTCATTCTCAAGACACTGTCTGTACTAGGAATGGTAAAATAGCTGTGAAGATCAATCATAAAGGTGCTACATTGAAAGTCTTTTATGTATACAAATATTCTCCAGTTATATTTTACCAACTTGAATATACTTATAAAGGGTTCATATAAGAATCTCAAGAATGGTACCTACCACCATAAACTCCACCATCTGGAAACAGATTGTCTGGTTCCTCCAAGATGACTGTCTGAATAATTGGTAACTAGCACCATATACTCCACCATCTGGATGCAGATTTTCTGGTTCCTCCAGGAGAACTGTCTTCCTCCGAACATAAGGTACCTACCACCATCTGGAAACAGATTGTCTGGTTCCTCCAGGATAACTGTCTGAATCATTGGTAACTAGCACCATATACTCCACCATCTTGAAGCAGACTGTCTGGTTCCTCCAGGAGAACTGTCTTCCTCTGAACCTAAGGTACCTACCACCATAAACTCCACCATCTGGAAACAGATTGTCTGGTTCCTCCAGGGTAACTGTCTGAATCATTGGTAACTAGCACCATATACTCCACCATCTGGAAGCAGACTGTCTGGTTTCTCCAGGAGAACTGTCTGAAGCTAAGGTACCTACCACCATAAACTCCACCATCTGGAAGCAGATTGCCAGGGTTCCTACAGGAGAACTGTCTGCCTCTGCACCTAAGGTACCTACCACCACATACTCATGAGGACACTTACCACCATAAACTCCACCATCAGGCAGCAGATTGCCAGTGTTCCTCCATGGATACTGTCTGCACCTAAGGTACCTACCACCACATACTCATGAGGACACTTACCACCATATACTCCACCATCAGGCAGCAGATTGCCAGGGTTCCTCCATGGATACTGTCTGAACCGAAGGGAGAATCCTGTCTTGTAGTCATTGCGCCTGTCTGACCTGAACTGGAGGGTGACATAGTTCTGGGTAGTCTGATACACCACCTTGGTGGGCAACTCGTTCCCACACAGACCCCACTGAGACATCCCTGGCAAGAGACGGGCATTGTCCGCCCGGTAACCTAGGAAGTAGATGAAGACATATCAGCATGACCACACACAACTACTGAGACTAATCCTGTACTTACCATGTTTATGCTACATTCAAGTTGTACTTGATTACATTTGTCACCTCACATAAAATCAATATGTATTTGGTGAAATGCAAGGAAACTGTAGTAATGGTTATGCCTTGACTTATTGTAGGACTGGAAGGACCATATCCTGATAACATGATTAAGTGAAAGAAGGGAAAAGCAGGATTTTATTCACACTGAGTTAGTGGATAAAACACTAGTTTACAGCTACATCAACCTGAGTGAGTGAGTGAGTATGGTTTTACGCCACTTTTAGCAATATTCCAGCAATATCACGGCGGGGGACACCAGAAATGGGCAAACGTATGTATACAGATATATTTACCATGTTTAGATATGACAAGTTCGTTTTACCAAGGGGACCTATTTTGTTTGGAATTACTGACGGAACACTCTTTGACATATCACACTACATAATTATTCTTGTGAAAATCTTGTTGTCAAAATGGGAGTGCAGTTATCACAGCAAAGGCGCGTTTTTTTACCAGCAATATTATCATGAGGATACACAGCTTCACTGCACAGGCACTGCACATTGTACCCATGTAGAAAAACAAACCAACAGACAATTAAGACTGTTTCACCAACTAGTCAACAGGAATAAATAGCTATATATAAAGGCGGTGTGGTATTATCGGTATATCAGTTAATTGAGCTTCATTCTTTCCACGACACGTATCACAATATCATTTTATCATGCTTGATATATCGGGTGATTTCAAATAGCGATTTTATCATGCGTTTAATGTTATATTCTTGCCAAATGCCTTCACTGCCCCTCAGCATGCCTCCGGGGCAACAACATGGCTGCGTATTGATTGGCTAAGTAAACATCATGTTGTACAAGCATGTTGTTTTCTTCCATTTATGAACTTCAATTCATACCTTAATGTATCAGACTTAAAATTTAGAATTATACAATATATTGTGACACGTATCGCAACACTGCCTTGTGCATCGCAAAATATTTTGATCATTTGACACTTTAATCCTCCAATAGTGAGAATGGTTTTACGCCGCTTTAAGCAATATTCCTGCAATATCACAGCGGGGCACACCGGAAGTGGGCTTCACACATTGTACCCATGTTGGGAATCGAACCCGGGTCATGGGCGTGACGAGCGAACGCTTTACCCACTAGGCTACCCGACCGCCCCTTAATCCTCCAATACCCATCCCTACTATATATTGATTTCACATCAACATGATTAGTAAATTTTAACAATGTGTATACCAATTAGTAAACACATATATATGTCCTTACTGTTGAAGATCTTGAGAAAGTCATTGCAGCACAATCCTCCACAATGGTCTGTAGCATAAGCATGGCCATCCAGGTCAATCTGCCTCAGCTCCAGTTCTATTTGGTAGTTCTTCTTGCCAATGATCGTCAGGAGGCAGTTGCGATCTGAGGCATAATACTCCTGGGCCTGTGAGGAGATGATGTCCTCATCCCTGTCTGTCACACGGACCTCGCGCGGGTACTGGTAGGAGCCGCACTCGTACTGGTTCTGAACGTTGATGTTACCTGAAGCAGTTGATGTTCAAAACCAGTTCATACATTGAACACACAATGCCATTAAGAAAGTGGTTAAATGTAACAAATGTTATATTCGGGATAACACTTTCCGAGTAAAGTACAGATTCTCATACACTGCCAGAGTGAGGCACCTAATCGCCACCACATCTAGACTACCGGTTATCGGACATTCATTTTGTGGACGCCTTGGTGGCTGAGTGGGTTAGATGGCTGACTTTGTGTGCTGGCGTTTAGGTGCCTCGCTCTGGCTGAGTGGGTTCGGATGGGACTCAACCCCCCAAAATACTAGAATCTGTACTTTGCCGAGTAAGTGTTATCCCAAACATAAACTTTTGTTACACTTCATACATTTTACCTTCTAAGGCGCCTAAATCTCAGTACAGAGTTATGTCCCTTAGTATGCATGCCAGAAATCCATGTTTCTGGAATTTAACTGAACTGAATTGAATTCCAGGAAGACGTGATTGGTTTCATCAAAGTTTAACCCATGTAAGACCTGCATCATTTTTCAGTTTTCCTCCCACATCAAGCTGACACGCCATAATATAATTGAAATACAGTAAACTACATTTATAACGAACACACTTATAATGAACTGACAGATATAACAAACTGTTCGATTGATCTCAGCCATTTGCTGCATGAGTTATATAAAATTGACAGATATAACGAACACGCTTATAACGAAATAACGGATATACCGAAATAACTTTGTGGTCCTGTGTGTACTCTGTCAACGATAATGTTTAAGGGTAGAACAAAGTGTTAGTCCCTGAGCTGAGCTGCTCACGTGTCACCAATCTGCCGATCAAAACATTCGCGGCAACACGCGGCTGTTCTAAGCGGCAACAAACAATTGAAGGCAAATGATTTACTCTTAAGTACTGACACCTTGTCCTCAAATCACACCCTCAATTAACAAATAGTAACACAGTGATTAGGCTATAGCCTTTGAAGTGGATATATTCTGTGTATAATATGTGACGCCTAGAGTGAGGAAATTCAGTATTGATAAACCTACGATGGCAGACACACCTCGTAAGCGGAAGTGACTCTTGATTCTGTATGTCATTGAAACTTCTGTTATGTATGATGAATAAACATATAACATGATGTGGACACATGACTTGATCCAAGATGTCTGACAGTCGAAATGCTTAAAGAACTACGGATATAACAAACTAATAATAAGTGGTCCCTTTGTTTGTTATAACCGTAGTTTACTGTACTATTCAAAGCATGGTTGAGCCAAACTCACACTATTGTCACACTCCATCAGCTACTGTCCTCACCCCTGAAGATCCGGGGCAGAATAGGTCTTCAGCAACCCATGCTTGCCGTAAAAAGCGACTTCGCTTGTCACAAGAGGTGACTAACCTAAACTGGTAGTCAGACTCGCTGACTTGGTTGATGCATGTCATCATATCCCAATTGCGTGGATCGATGCTCATGATGTCAATCACAGGATTGTCTGGTTCAGACTCGATTTTTTACAGACTGCCGTCATAAAGCTAGAATATTGCTAGTTCGGCGTTAAACAACAAACAAACAAACAACTGTATCCTGATCATCATCCCTGCTGTGCTTATCATGGTACAGTGCCAGGACTCCATATGTGGCAAGAAACATCAAGAAGCTCACGAGTGTTTTTCCTTTTCCTATACCCTTACAAAAAATGAGACATGAGGTCTTAAGTTTGTAGAGTTAAGCAAAAATTACAACAATATTTCTTCTGTGTCTTTCTTCACAGGAGTGTCCACTTGTTCAATAACACAAAACTGCGTGAAACAGGCCCGAAATCATCTTTTCCATTAACTTGTAAAGATTCTTAATCACTTTAAATCATACCTACCGCTCTTATCAGTCTTGCGCACCTACATACACACTAAAATGAAAATACTGATGAAATAGCCACAACATCTTAAATTGTAGGTCACTTTCTACATTCTTAAATATTGTAATCACGCTGACTTACGTAGTGAGTAAGTGAGTATGGTTTTATGCCGCTTTTAGCAATATTCCAGCAATATCACGGCGGGGGACACCAGAAATTGGCTTCACACATTGTACCATGTCGGGAATCAAACCCGGGTATTCGGCGTGACAATCAAACGCTTTAACCACTAGGCTACGCGACCGCCCCTCTGACTTTGTTAAACAGACATCATTCAATATATAAGCTGCAGAATACCTGATATATACCATACCTTAAATAAACTGTTTAAACCCTATTGTACACAGTTTGCATTCAAATAACATGCACTGTGCTCTTTGACAGGTGACAAAACGAGGGTGTAATTTTGTGCAATGCAATTATTTTAATCAATGAAGTTTCATAAAATCCTTACAGATGACAAAATAGTGCAACTATAGGAATGTCAAATGGTTTCTATTCTTTTGAGTAATATATAGAATAGATACCTGAATCATCTGGATTGTCTGCCCCAAGCTAATGAACGAAGGGACTTACAACACGTATTCATCCATGAGGAATGAGTTAGTGAATAAGGTGCCTCTTTCAGAAATATTCAAGCATTATTTCATCAGGGACCCCAGAAATGGGCATTGCACAAAATAAAATTTGGCATGTGCTATAAAAGTTTATGGCATGTATAAATTCACGTCCTAACACTACACTACAGAAGTCACAACCAAAAAACCTAGTCCTATAACCAGCTGATAACCCCACGTCTTGATTGTTTTAAAATCATAACCCCCGGCTAGAAGTACAAAAAATCATTTATGTCCGGGATAATTAATGAGTTAATTAGCCAACACTCTACCACTAGACTACGAGCACAATCACATGTGATCATTCTTGTATAATGGCTCATAAGCACGCCTTTAACGCATATGCACAATTAAATAAACAATGAATTGCGCATGCGTGTGACATCACCCCCTCCCATTCATTTTTTCTTGAAGCCACACTCGCCATTGTTTGTATCAACATGACGAACCGATCGAGCAACGCTAAGGTGTATAACGATGTGTTTCGTATCACGTTCAACGCCATCACTCTCGTAATTACTTTAATCAGATTATCCGGATTAACATTAGAAAAAGTAAGAATTAATGGCTAACCCTTGCCCTCAGCAAGCTAACCATAAGGATCGAAAAGGGGTGTTGAATTGTAAAGGGGTGTTGAATTGTAAAGTAAAGGGGTGTTGAATGGTAATGGTGTGTTGAATTGTAAAGTAAAGTGGTGTTGAATTGTAACGGCGTGTTGAATTGTAAAGTAAAGGCGTGTTGAATTGTAAAGTAAAGGGGTGTTGAATTGTTAAGTAAAGGCGTGTTGAATTGTAATGGCGTGTTGAATTGTAATGGCGTGTTGAATTGTAACGGCGTGTTGAATTGTAAAGTAAAGGGGTGTTGAATTGTAATGGAGTGTTGAATTGTAAAGTAAAGGCGTGTTGAATTGTAAAGTAAAGGGGTGTTGAATTGTTAAGTAAAGGCGTGTTGAATTGTAATGGCGTGTTGAATTGTAATGGCGTGTTGAATTGTAACGGCGTGTTGAATTGTAAAGTAAAGGGGTGTTGAATTGTAATGGAGTGTTGAATTGTAAAGTAAAGGCGTGTTGAATTGTAAAGTAAAGGGGTGTTGAATTGTAATGTCGTGTCAGTTTCCCAAAGACCGAAATGGGGTCTTGGATCGTAAAGGTTGTCAGTTTCCCAAAGACCGAAATGGGGGTGTTGGATCGTAAAGGCTGTCAGTTTCCCTAAGACCGAAATCGGGTCTTGGATCGTAAAAGCGTGTCAGTTTCCCTTAGACCGAAATCGGGTCTTGGATTGTAAAGCGAGGGCCACTGGATCGTGAGCCACGGTAACAGTATAGCGAGACTGCAGTCGCGCAATAGCGCGGTATTTGAGTGGATGGTAGTGCTCGGGCTTCGCCCGGTAAACTGCATTGTTGCCTCGAGACGTGTGGTTTCACCTAACCCAGTCAAAATTTGAAGTCATTCGGCGCGCAAATCTTTCCGTCATAGTACCCGGACACTGTTTTGACGCAAAACAATTTGAAATGTTGTGTATATTAGTTTTGTCAATAATCATTTTGTGTGGTAGCGGTATACGTTCACTACACGTATGGAATACATAAAACATATATATATACGACTACACTAGTAATCCTAACTATCCGTATGTGTTAACATGTAACATGTAGTTACCTGGAACGACGACGAAATGACAAAACAAAACCAGGAAACAACAGAGCCTGACAGGTGCCTCCATCTTGAAAACACCTGATGACGTCACATTTACCTGCGCCTGCTACCTTTAATCACACTTTCGAATTTGCAAAAGTTCCTGATGATATCCATGGCGCGCAGATATACGCATAAATTTAAAACAATTTTGTTTCTCCAATGACATACACAATTTCCGTCACATTAGTATAGTTTTCGATAAAATGTCACCTGTAGATTCGCTTCGATTATGTGACTTAATTTCTGTATGTATAATCCGAACATAAGGGAGACAATCCACAATTGTCTATCGTCGGCAAGTAAAAGCATTTTCCACTAAATTTATAAGCATTTCATCAACATCTGTGGACCATAACCAGGTGATATTTTATCATATATGGGGTAATTGCTGAAACGATTCCAAGCTCCAATTTGATCAAAATGACGCAATATATTTATTCTACTGGTTTGAAAGCGACCAGCTATATTTTTTGTGTTAATTCTGAAACATTCCGTGTATAAAGTCGACTGTACCAATAACTTTGATTTTTGTGACACTATCAGCAAATACGCTTATTTCTGTCCGTGGAAACAGTTTGAGTAGTTTCTGTTATAAAGCGACGGGAAGGAATCAAAACAGAGGAACCAGAACTTTCCAGTGGACGTTATTGTACCAGTTATCGCCATCGATTTAACAGCATGTGTCACGTGATCACGCGCACCGCGTCACTTATATAAATTACATTTTTTATTATCTCTGGTATCGCACTCAATTATTTTCTTCATTAAAAATGGACATTTTTTTTTTTATCAATTTGTCGTCTGCCATCTGACGTAAACCAATATTCCCAAAATTCGATCTACACATGCTTATTCAAAATACTATGTATACTCGGACCCCGTGGTACCGCGGCATTCATCGTATCGCGGCAATTGTGATTTCCGATAGTTCACGCGGGACACGCCTCTTAACGGCTGTCTATTAATGCAAATCAGTAACCAGGAAGTGCTCACTTCGTAAACAATTTCAATTTCCTCGGAATGTTCCGTCTGCTGTAAGTAAGGAGTTATTAATCCGTTGATACATATTTCTGGCATCTGTTGTAATATTGCCTTACCCCCATCTATCAATGGCCAACGATATAACCCGCAGTTCCCCAAGTAAACTTTCTCTATCGACCTGAACTAGATCATCTGCATATTCATGGCGACTAATGAGGTAACGGAAGTTACGTAGTCCGTACATTTTTCCCCGCTCTGTGCCCAGAATCTATTAGGAGATCATAAGGGCCATAATGCCAAACTTAGAAATACGTTCTTCACTAGTAACCAAAAGATAAATACATACTTTGGACATACTAGGAGTGCTTTTTATATATTTATTGTTGACTTTTAACATTTTTCCATTTTGTGACAAATTATTGTCATCCAATTTGTTTTTAACAATCTTAAAATATCATTTCTGATATTTTGTTGTTGACTTATAAAAATATTTTTCTCTTACTTTTCGGTAAAAATGCATTGAATACCTATTGCTGATAACACATTTAGGATTTTACTTGTGCTGTCTTTGCACTTGTCTGGATAAATCACTGATGTCTGGCATGATCATACCAAGTGGTTGGTAGAATTATGTCCTCTTTTTGTCCAATTCGGACCTTCATACACAACTTTTCTCTGTACCGCGATACGATGGAGTTCTCTCCCTTGTCAAACAGCGCGAGGCCCGGCTTTTACTCGGAGCTACTGATGTAAATAATGAACTTTTATCAGTAAATATGCATAGTTTGATAACACGAATGATATCTGTTATAGAGAACACGAATAATCATAAAGGTTAGTTAGTGCATTTTGTTCCGTTAACGTACATGACAAGTACCGCGATACCCCGAGGTTGCAGGCTACTATGAATTTCGCGATATGTACAGCACGGACCTATATAAAAGTCCGTGGTACAGGTTATGCTTTTTGGGAAAAAATACATAAATTAGGTTTTAGGATTGTATTTTTTTTAAAGAAATGACGGTCAGATGGTGAGCAATGACATACGTAACTAAATGTGCACCATCGTGATGGAATTCTGTTTACGCGACAAATCAGGTCACGTGACACCACCCGAATGTCATTTCTAAATGTCTATTTGAAGCTGGTGTTTACATTGCGTGTGTTTCATATTTCCTAACACAAGTGTCAGTTTTGTCTATCATTTTCGGAAAATTGTTTTCTCTTCTAATGAGAACGAACAAAAGTAAAACGTGATGCGATCACGTGAGCGTATATATTTCAGATATATCTTATAATTAACAGATTAAGTTTACAAATATGTGTAGAAAGAATTGCGTTTGAAATTAATAAGTTTCTTTACTAAAAAATAGAAAAACTAAGAAAGAGCCCGAAATGATTTGTTGTGCAGGTTGCCGTCAAGGTAAGGAGATTCTCAGGGAAACAAAAGGATACTGTCTCTACGTGATGGACCTTAGGCAAATCTGAAGAACAATACATGCATTCATAATGCACTGAGCTCCAGACATTTAGTATCTACTCATAGAGCGACATGGCAGTATTTACAATATATACATGCACATAGAAGAGAAATGAAAAGTGCCTTTTTAACAGAAAGATCTTTAAATTGGATTGGAAGAAGGTGTTAGCAAGAGGCGAATGTCAAGAGGCAAAGCGTTCCACAAAGCTGGAGCGAGGTAGCTGCAAAAACGGCAGCCGTAGAATGTAAGGCGACGTTACCAGATCATGATTGGAAGATCTCAATGACCTTGCAGGTTGTGCCTGGATAGTCGGGACCCATTTCATGGAAATACTGGACGATGAAGTGTAAGAAACGTATGCCCGATACTTGCCGGTAGACCAATGCAAGGACTGTGGAGCTGGGGTTATATATGTTCTCTTGCTGGTATAGATAACCAATGCAAGGATTGTGGAGCTGGGGTTATATATGTTCTCTTGCTCGTATAGATAATCAATGTAAGGATTGTGGAGCTAGTGTTATATATGTCCTCTTGCTCGTATAGATAACCAATGCAAGGATTGTGGAGCTATTGTTATATATGTTCTCTTGCTGGTATAGATAACCAATGTAAGGATTGTGGAGCTGGTGTTTTATATGGTCTCTTCCTGGTATAGATAACCAATGTAAGGATTGTGGAGCTATTGTTATATATGTTCTCTTGCTCGTATAGATAACCAATGTAAGGATTGTGGAGCTGATATTATATATGTTCTCTTGCTGGTATAGATAACCATTGTAAGGATTGTGGAGCTGGTGTTTTATATGGTCTCTTCCTGGTATAGATAACCAATGTAAGGACTGTGGAGCTGGCGTTATATATGTTCTCTTGTTCGTATAGATAACCAATGCAAGGATTGTGGAGCTGGTGTTATATATGTTCTCTTGCTCGTATAGATAACCAATGCAAGGATTGTGGAGCTGGTGTTATATATGTTCTCTTGCTGGTATTGATAACCAATGTAAGGATTGTGAAGCTGGTGATATATATGTTCTCTTGCTGGTATAGATAACTAATTCAAGGATTGTGGAGCTGATGTTATATATGTTCTCTTGCTCGTATAGATAACCAATGTAAGGATTGTGGAGCTGGTGTTATATATGTTCTCTTGCTCGTATAGATAGCCAATGTAAGGATTGTGAAGCTGGTGTTATATATGTCCTCTTGCTCGTATAGATAGCCAATGTAAGGATTGTGAAGCTGGTGTTATATATGTCCTCTTGCTCGTATAGATAACCAATGTAAGGATTGTGGAGCTGGTGTTATATATGTTCTCTTGCTGGTATAGATAACCAATGTAAGGATTGTGGAGCTGGTGTTATATGGTTAGGTTGTGGATCCTGTTTGTGATTTTTGCGCGTGCCAGTGTTTCTGTACACTGATAGAAATGGTTTGTAAAGTTCACTAACTCAGTGAATTTCACTGTCCACTCAGACGCTAACATTTTAAGTAGACTATACCAATCAGCTAGTATATTGTTTCACTAGATGGCCTATCGTCAGTAACTAAAACAAATTAAGTAGTAGTAATTTCATGATGAAAGAATACCATGAGTCACACAGCAACAACACATTGGTGAACACAACGAATTTTAAACCTCTGTGGGATTCGAACCTGCAAGGTCTTGATTTGCAATCCGTCACGCAACCACCTGTGCTAATTATTTGTACATTTTTATGTTAATATTATTAAGTTCCTTGTAGTGTATATGTGTTATGCAAGTGCCTGTGAATCTGATTTGCACATCTAATTTCAATATATGCACATTTGACTTATAGCCTGATGATATGCACTTTATTAAACATTTGTACATTCTAAATGTGTTTAAAGGTGTGTAAATTGGATTATGTTGATGATATGTTAAGGTGGTGTTTAGGCTATGAGGCAATATATCATTTCATTTGTTTAGACCATGAACACACCAAATGTGTTTACCGTTTAGGATTCAAACACATTCCTTAACATGTTTTGTATGTTTTTACATTCAAAAATATTTTAAGGTGTGGTTTGAGTAGTGAAGTATACGAATTTAATAAGTGATATTTACTCATATTCAGCATCTTCGAGCAATCTACCTGGCAGGATTGTAAATACGCTGTTTACTAATCTTTTGGTCGCTCATACTAATTATGCTAGTAGATCTTCAGAAACCATGCACTGTCCTTATCTACAATCAATCCGAAGTATCATATTCTGATCTAACAGTAACAAACTCACTTGTGACAGGTCAGCAGGACTCAACCTTCTTGGGAGTTTAGTTCTTTGATCAGCTTCATGCAGAATGCATTACATATATTTTCCCAATAAGTGTGGGTATTGCCCGTGTAACATATACCTACATTACTACATGTCAACTCTCATCACTCGACCGACTAATCCTAAAATATCATATGAGCGATGCAACCTGATCATGTGTAAGAACATTATATAGTCTGTCACACAGACCCTGAAACAAATATATCCAATACAGCCTATGTAAGTCTATAATAGTTGGCAATTCTAGATTACTGCAGTTTCAGGAAATCTAGAGTCTATGGGCCCCTTTTTATTATATTTTATTAAAATAATTTTAACAACTGTTTTTTTTTCTGAAATATATTTTCATTCCG